TTGAGGCGACTTTTGTTGTGATTTGGCGCTATATAAATAAAATTGAATTGAATTGAATTGAATAGATATTATCAGACGATCTGCAAAGAAAATACAGCAAAGGACAATACTGTGACAAGTATGAGACAAATGCTGCAGAAACGGGTTCATCTGATGATTTGTCAAACGGGGGAAAAGAAACCTCTTAATTCAAGATAATTTTTTGTAATTACTGGGTGTCCTCTCAGTATTGCTGTTTAGTTAATGCGATTGCTTGTACATCTATTTTTGGTGTGTGTTCTGTTTTATTAGTTGCAGTTCCAGCAGAGTAAGATATTTGATGTGTTCCTTCTTCAAAATAGTTTATCATTTGGAAAGATAACCTAAAAATAATACTGCAATATCTCAAATCGAGCTGATCAACATGTAGATAGATCTATAAAATCTTAGGCATTCCAATGACTTGTTTATCTGTACTGATAAAACTTTACTTTAAAGACTTGGAAAGGTAGCCTAAATTTGTTGAGTTAAATCTGAAATATTTAGTATGACTAAAAGTTTCAGTGTGTCTAAAATTGTACTACCACACATACACAGTACATTTGCACAATAACTGAAACTAGCACCACTGAATGAACAAGAACTACACATGGGTGTGCCATGGGTTCTCCAGTTTCACCCACTGTGGCTGACTTGTACATGGAAGAAATGAAAAAGAGGGCCATGTTATCCTACCCTGGAACACAACCACACCATCTGTGAATTGTGGTACATCCTGAGATTTGATTTTCGCCCAGGTGTCATCCACATACCTGAACCAATGACTTTATGGGGATGTGTTTTTATAGTTATTAAGTAGGTTTTAAGCACATGTAGAGAATCCCTTTAACAATGTGTTTTATTTACATTGATAAATAGTGTAAGGATAACTCTTGTGAATCAAATAAAGGAAATAAGCTGTAATAACAATAACCAGTATTCTGCCAAAAAATGGTCTCATGTTCTGTAGTGCTATAGTGGACAATTACAACATTGCAAAATTTTATTATTGTTATTGGTAAGAGGAAATAATTAATAAAAACAAACTACCACTGAAGCCAAGAGAAACTAAACTAAAACTGCTCAAACATAAAAAAAAAAACTAAACTGAAACAATTAAACTCCCTCTGGAAACTAAATGGAACCAAACTGAATGAATTTGTTTTTAAAAAAGGAACTAAAAATAAAAAGTAACTTGAAACTAGAAGAACTCAAACTGTCAATTATTGCCTTGAAATGCAATAAAGAAAAAACAAGTACAACAAGTATATAACCATGGAACAAATGACAAGAAGGTTACCTCAATGTCGACTTTTTTTTCTTTTTTTTAAATGCTTTTTTAAAAAAAAGGTATTATTTAATATTGGTACCTTTCCATGTTTGTTATTGTTCTTAGCGTCTTGGAGTGACTGTGATCACCTAATTTGCTCTGGTATAAATAAGATATTCTGATTCTGATTCCCAATAGACGCTAAATGAACATACCTAAAACCGGAGTCATAGAGAATCTCAAGGGTCAAAGATAGATGTTTTCAAAGGTTATTTCTACATATGTCCCAGTAATAAGAAGCGCTTTGATCTGGCTTGATTCAGCATTTTTATTTTATTTTTTTACAATTCTACTAAACACATTTGACTATTTTCCCTGTTATTTAGTTTGCAGTGCCCTCTTGTGACTGCAGTCAATTAAATCACTTCATTACTACTAAGGATCTCCTCGTATAACTCATCAGATTATTAAGACGAGACACAGGACAAGACATGCTCTCTAAAAGTATTTTATTTACATAGTTCTCCTCTCCATTGTAGCATCTGAAAATAATTTTACATTAAAGATAGGTGCAAAAGTTTTAATCAGGGAAACCTTTTTTAAATAAAGAGTTTTAAGAACACTGCTGTCGCCGTTTGACTTTCCACCACAAATAACATACTTCCCCAGTTCATGTCCTCTGTTTCAGGTGGGCACCTCCAGTTCTCGCAAGAACAGAGAGAAGGGTGAAACCTTTTTCGTCCTGGCTCTTTTAACAGCTCTTCTGTAAATGTAGCCGTTGTAGCGTTTTCCAAAGCGAAGGCTGAGAGGGTTGTAGTTGAAATTACTTCTGCGATCATTGCAAAGGAGCTGCCTCTGGTCTTCGTTCTCTCTCAGGGAAAAGCAGAGGCTCGGATCCTCTGCCAGGAAGTCGCCTGCTGTTCTCCTGAATGCAGAGGACACTGCTCCTGAAGGCAAACCCCAGACACATCAGTCCACAACTGCAAATACACAAACACAGCAGAGTACGTGCAGCTGCAACCTGCTACACAATCTATTGAATCAGTCATCACCACACACACAGTGTTTGATGAGGTAACTCATGTATTTTTTTTTCTTTTTTAGATTATTTTAGTTTGACATGTACTTTTGTTTTTAAAAAGAGGATTTTATGACCATGAAATATCTATGTGTCGATTATTTTTATACCAAATTATGGGTTTATTGTTTGTTTGTTTTTTAGCTTCATATCAAAATTAAGACAGTCAATTACAACATCATAATTTTCACTTAAAACAGCCACAGGAGTCAAAGCCTTCATGGTTGATGCAAATATTTCATATGGATACCCTGTCTGTTACTGATTATGTCCAAATCCTCTGCTAATCCATGAATCATAAGGAAAATACAGTCCTAATGATAGTAAGACTGTATATTGCTTTCATAATGATGAGAACAGGAGGCTCAGCGCTTCATCCTACAGCTACAGTTACTCAAACTTTTCTGCCCCACTTCAAAAGATAGAAACAGTTCAGATCTCACAATTTTTAATATCAGCATTTTGAACAAGCCTCAACATTTTCCTTTAAGTCTATTTTGTCTGCAAAAGTCAGATTCATTTGATTTAGTTTTACTCCACATTGTTCTGGTAATCGGTGCAGTGGGGCCTGCAACAGTGTTTGAGAAGAAATGTATTACAACAAGATAGTGTGCCAAAGTATTACGAGAAGGAAACAGGCACAAACTGCAGACATAAACCCCATCAAGCTGCTTTGGCATGAAGTAGACAGAAGACTGAATGCAAGACAACCTAAAAGTGCAGCAGATTAGTAGGAACAAAAAGTATCTACATTAGAATCCGTATACCTATAGCAGGCTCAGCTTCTGAATGATTCAAACATTTTGATTCAATTTAGAGCTGAGAATTTCATGATTTTTTGCACCCCTCTAGCCTGTATTCTGAGACGTGAAACTACATTTTTTCAAACCCTTTATTTTTAGTGTAAATTCCAAATTCACAAAGCCTATAAAAACCTAACTGGCTGCAACTCTTGAGGCGACACGTTTCCTGTCTGTACTAATAATGCTAAATGAATAGCATAATGCTGTAATAAATAACAAATAAAAAAATATTAGACTTCAGTAGCCACCTGTTGCATGTGTTCTCTGTGCAGGGTCGACTCCTTGCAGAGCTGCTCCCACACTCCGTCCATCCTGGATAGCAATGAGAGCGCAAACCACAGCCAAAGCCAGTAGTCTCATCTTTCAACACCAGATCCAAAAATTGTTTGTCTACTGAGCCTTCCCTCCATTCAAACCTGTTTTATGTCTCCACCAGGTGACCGCCTGCGCCGCTTGGCTGCCGGCCAATCACAGTGCGTGCATCTCTGTCCTGTAAATTGTAGAGCTGATTGATGCTGCTTAAGTCATTTATCAGCGCTTCTACGAAATGCTGAGAACATCATTCAGTACAAATCACTATGCTGCATAAAAAAACCAAACACTTAAATCAAAAAAGCGATGAAGCTGTTGAGTAATGTTGCAGTTCAGTTTTTAATCCCATCTGCAGTCAATCAAAAAGCTGGAGCGGGAATGTGGAATGAGTCGTCGCTATAAAAATATTCTAGTTTTTTCATTCTCCGTGTTGAATGCTGTACAACTAGTACAGTGCAAAAGTCTTTAGACAGCCATAATTTCTTTATATTTTGCTTCAAGTGAGTCTTTTGTAATTTTTTTAAAGTGATCTTGATCACTAGCAGCTTCGTGAAGGGGTTTCAAAGTGTGTATTTGCTACTTTGCTACTCATTTTTTTGTCCAGCTCTTGTATGTCATCCTTCTTTCCTTCTTTTATTTTTTGTTAAACACTTAACAGGGACCCGAGTCATTTAAACATAAAAAAAAAACACACATAACCGTATGGATGACTGTAGAAAATAGGGACGACCTAACAGCTCCCCCAAAATGAAGCTAAAACATCTCTATCGCCCCCTGGTGTCTGGCTGCAGGATAGGTCACCCCCCCACCCCCCTTTCTCAAGTCGGAGGGCCTGGGTTTGAGGTGAAACCATTCCATGCATACTCCAAGAAGTACTGTCTTTATCATCACCCACCTACTTTCTTTTAAATGAATAAAAATTTTTTTTCATTATTTACAATACCAGAAAAGAGAGGGGGACCCCCCCAATAAATAAATAAATAAATAAATAAATAAATAAATAATAAATAAAAAAATAAAATAATAATAATAATAATAATAATAATAATAATAATACAATAATAATAATAATACATAATAAATAAACAATAAATAAAATAAAATGTATGAGGGACATTTGCAACACTCGGGTCAGAAAAAGCGCACGTAACATCATCAAGGACCACACACACCCACAGCACACACTGTTCACACTCCTGTCATCTGCCTGCTACAGGTGTGTGAAAGCAAGGACAATCCACAGGCTATCAGGCTACTGAATCACTGACTTACGCTTGAACTGTGATTATCTTTGACCTGTTAAATTGTAATTTTTTACATCTATATCCAACATAACACAACTTCATACAGTCTAAACATTTTAATATAGCACATTCTGTATATATTACCACTGTGACAGTGTTGCAACTACTGGCACTTTAGATTCTGAATACACCCACACATAAGCTACATAAGCACTTGTTTTACTTTATTATTTTGTATGCTCCGACTTAAACTTATTCTTTATTTTAGTTAGTTGTTATTTAGTTGTGTGAAGGGAACCTGCAAAGTAAGAATTTCATTGCTCTGCATAACCACTTGTGTTTTGTGGTGTATATGACAATAATCTTCTTGAATCTTGACAGTAAATAACATCTGAACAAGATCATTTTGAACAAAACATCTGAAAATGAGCTGTGAACTATGAAGTAGAAACGTGAACTATGAGCTGTGAAAACCAAAGGGGCTGTAAATCGTCATAGCAGGAGCTAGAGAGACAACTCAGGGAGAGGATTGTGGCTCAGGTGAGGGTCAGTGGCGCTTGAACACACAGAGATGGCAGCGATTGGTCAGGTAAGAAGAGTAAGTAACCTGGAAGTGTCTTACAGATTTTGTAGGTGGAGGCTGGCGTGAGGGGAAGGCAGTCGAAGTGATCCAGGTGTCCAGAATCCGAGGGTCCAGAGGGCGTGTTTATCGTGAATCCTTTGAGAAGGAGCAGGGAGGAAGGCAGGCGGGTAAATGGATATCTAACAGAGCTTGGGCTGTGATCATGATTACTGAGCAGACAAGCGTTCAGAAGTGGTGAGTAATGTTGAGAGTGAAAAGATGTACCAGACGATTCCTGAAAACCACAGAAAAACACCAGGGAAGCATACACCAAATACCATGATGCACAGGAATAACTTGTTGGTCTGGCAAAGACTTATTGAATTGATCCCTAGGGGAAATTATGTTGGTTACAGTGCTCCAGTACAAACAGTAACAAAAACAGACAATACAAGAAGTAAGAAATAGCACAATATATACAATATATACATACATATAACTCACTTACTAATAAATATCTGAATAAGAACGAAGAACATGTGTTAAAAGGGTGTTGCTATAGCAGGATGTGTTTGAGTGTGTGTTGAGAGCGCCGGTCTTATATGCAGGCAGCCCCAAATTGCCAACAGGCGCAGATCATGATTGGAATGAGGAAGCTGCGCCCAGAGGTGGGAACTCCAGCTCTGCGGAAAAACACACAGCCACTCACACGGACCATGACAGTAACATGTTTAATACCTAATTATCACATCAAAAATTGTATATACACTCCACACCAGTTGGTGGCGGTAGTGCACCATGCATCAGATTTATATTTTTACTGAAATGAGACCAGGTAAAAGTTTCCGCAACATTTACTTAGTCAATATAAAGTCATGAGTTGTCACTGAACCAGTTCTATGCAATTAACTACAGTGTGTGCAACAGAATTCAATTTTCAATTCAGTTTTGCTTATATAGCCTCAAGGTGCTCTATATTGTAGGGTAAAGACCTATAATAATATTGAGAAAAACAATCAGATGAACCCCTATGAACAAGCGCTTTGGCGACAGTGGGAAGGAAAAACTCAATTTTAACAGGAAGAAACCTCCAGCAGAACAACGCTCGGGGAGGGACAGCAAGAGAGCCAGAGATGAATAATAACTAATGATTAAATGCAGAGGTGAGTGAAAAGGAAACAGTAACTGCATCATGGGAAGCCCCTAGCAGCCTAGGCCTATTACAGCTTAACTAACAGAGTATTCAGGGTTACCTGATCCAGTCCCAACTGTGTGCTTTGTCACAGTTTATTTATTTTCCATACAGAGGCGTCTAAAAGCCGAAGGCTCTGCCTATCTTTGTACATGGAAGAGGAAAGAAGTTGCACAGAAGTGTGTAAGACTGCAGCTCTGCTTCATGGTCCCAACTCTGGATAGTTACATATTGGGTGGAAATGAAAGCACTCCATTCAAAGTGGGATGGATGCTGCCTCACCTAACAACACCAGACTTTTCCCAGAAAGTTTCCCAGTTATCTGTAAAGCACATAGCTTTTTGCAGTGCAGTGATTAGCAGTTTCCCTCATAAGAAGAATATTCCACGCTCTAATCAAACCCTAGGGGTCCTAGCACTGCTAGGACCGCTTGTTGTAGGGCTGCCAACTTTAACGCGTTAATGCCGTCATCAAGATTAAAAATTTTAACGCAATCAAACCATCTGCAGCACAGAATGGACAAAACTTTGGACAAAGTGCCCGAAATGCATTGACAGAGACATTTCAGGGATTTTGAGTCATTCCAAATGGATTAATTGCGTTGCAATTTTTAATAGCATTAATCGTGATAACGGCGTTTACATTGAAAGCCCTAGTTTGTTGGTTTGTTTTTATTTTGTTTTATTTTGCAAGCTGGTCGTTAGATGCCGCTCCAGCCGGCCCGCCCCTCTCCTCCTGTAAGCAGCAGGCGCACCTTGCAAACAGAAGGGCGAGCAACTTTCTTTTTTTTTTTTGCAGATGCCATGATGCTGCCCTGGGGAACCGCCCATGTTGCCCATATCAAAAACTGCTGCCTAGGGGTATGTTCTCACCAGGAAGTCCGCATAGATGTATGGTTAGATGTGGCTGGTAGACTAAAGCACTTTGACTGGTCACAAAGATGAAAAAAAGCTACATAAATCAGTCAGCCAGTGTAAGAGCTCATTGAGGCCTGCAAAGAGTCTCAGTTAGATACAAATTATTTTGCAAATCTTGATTTTTGCTTTTATTGGTTTTAGAAATTCAGATTACAAAATCATTCCTTAGTACAAACTATTACAAAAATAATCTTAATTAGATAAAAGTAGTTGGGGTGAGTTTTTTTTGGTAAGGTTTAAGGAGAGAAGTGTCAGATTGGCACAAGCTGCTGCACCTTTGCTAATCAACTCTGCCTTGTTAAGCAGCAGCAGGGTGGTTCCTCACGGAGCACATGTGCATGCTAGCTAATATAGTTGACTCAGGAGTGAACAGCTTCCGCTGATATAATATCTGACTTTTCTGGAGTTTGACACTACTAAGGGGCGAAAACAGGCCTTATTCTGTTTTTTGCGTGAGCGAGGAAATTTCCCTGTAGATGTTCAGTAGTTTTATAGAATCCTTATTTGGTTGTATTGAGTGGAATGTAAAAGTGTTTTTTAGTATCTGCTCTAAAAACAACACTTTTAAGCTAACATGGAGTCAGCCTAAAGCGGATTGATCACTTTAGGCCTTCACTCCTCAGAGAGATAAATAAATAAATAGTAAGACTGAGCACACAGCTGCAGTTTGTTTTTATCACACACAACCCCAAAACCAAACCTTTCACCCTGACATGATTATGGAAGGTAGGCGGGGTGGAAGTGCTTTGCCCTCGTGACTTTTTTTTTTTTTTTTAATAAGTCTCATCTTTGCCTTCGGAGAGGAAAGCTCTTTCTGGCCTCTAGCCACAACAGGTTCGAAGGTCCTACATTCAGATTAAGCGGAGCTTCTTCCCAACAGTGACGTTTGTTGGACCCCCAGAAACTGTAAGATGCCTCTGTCCCGTTCGCTTTCCATGACATCCCTGACCGGGGTGCTGCCGGCCTGGGAGGAGGACGAGCTGCCTGTGGAGGACCTGCTGCTCTTCGAAGTCTCCTGGGAGGTCACCAACAAAGGTCAGTTTCATCAGAACTGTATTACTTCTATTTCCATTTTATACAGTAAAACACTGGATGTATCATTGTAGTATTTATTTCATTTGAATCAGTTAGCTCATATTAATGTGTTTGAGTCAATATATTTCAGTGTGCGTGTGTATATATTTGTTTTTTTAATCACTCTTGTGGCTAGAAAAACAATATACAGAATGTATAAATATCTATGAATCAAAGGAATTAAAAAAAACTTGTGAAACCATAATGAACAGTAACAAATGTGTATCTTTAAAGTATCAGTATTTCAGTTTAAACATCACTTTAATTTGTATCTCTAATACATGCCATGTGACAATTTCCTGTTTAAAAAAAACCCCTCTGTCTGTTAATATTAGTAATATTTTATGAAAGAGTCACTCTTTGCCCCTTGAAGAGCAAATATTGCACTGAGTGTGCTCCCTCTGAAGAGTTAAACATTAAGCTGATGCTCATGTAGTGTCCTAAACACAAAAAAGATAAAATGACTGAATATTGAATTGGTTTGCATGTGGACAGCAGGTGTCGTGTTACAGTACTAATTGTGGCTTTTGCCTCGAATCACTGAGAACATTTTATGCATAGTGAAGATTTCTGCTGCCTGTTTATTCACTCTTACTGGCAGTTTGGATTGAAGTTGGATATGGAAACTGCAACTTTTTGTTTTTTTTAAAGATGTGACAATAGCACATTGTTTCATGTTGTGTTTAATTACCTTTAATTTCAAATTAATGAATCTAAAAATGTAAATATTAATTTGAACATTAAGGTTCAGAGGTTATCAGGCACTCTGCTGTTTTCTCTGGCTTTACTGTTTATATGATCCCTGCTCTCTGATGCAGCTCAGACGTCATTCTCCACTGAATGTTTTGGTGATAATATCAGTATTTGTCTTTATGCTGCCTAGTGAGACTGAAAAACATTACCACATGTGCTTTGACCCCTACAAACCAGAAATTTTGTGTCTGCTACAAATGGCACCAGTGCAATATCAGCTCCTGGCCAAAATGGGTTTGTATAAAAGATCTGTTAAAGCAATTGATGGCCCCTGACTATTTTCAGTGATTTAGTGTTTGACTAAATGACTGAACAGCTGATGATAATGTATGTAGGTATGTTTTGTGTCTTTCTTTCCATTTTTGTGGATTTTTAAATGACAATCTGGATTATGTCTCTGCACATAATAAGAGGTTATTTAACAAAAGTAAACCAAAAGCAAAAACACTGTATAGAAAAACTAGGAACATCTTTCCTACTTCCATAGGAATTAGGAGACTGAAAAGCAGCCAGTTGCTGCTACTAAATGCATTTGATTAACTGATCTGGAAATGTGAACAGCTATAGAAGTAGCAGTAGTTTAATTATCATTCAGGTGTCTGTTCACCTAATGCCAATGAAGATGGAAATCAAAATGATGAGGAAGCAATTTTTGTTGCCCATCAGTCTGTAACCGGTTATAAGGCTGCTTCTTGAGCAATTTGAAATCAGTCATTCTGCAGAGAGGGCATTAGCAAGTCAGAAAGCACTCAAAACAGTTTTCAGTCTTTCAGTTGACATTCCAGCAAATTCACCCCAATGATACTCAGAAACTTAACCCTCTGGGGTTTAATTGGCCATTTTTTTTCAATACTTTTGATTTTACCTTGTATATTTCACATTTTAAAACTGTTTACCTTGCCTTGTTTAAAATAATTCTTGTCAGTACTCCTTGTTTGATTTGGGGGGTTTTTTCTTTTCATTTTGACGTACTGTATTACCTCTAAAATCAACACACAAATAATATGAGGTTAGGAAAAGTTACACTTCTTTTTTTTTTTTTTTAACTGCAAAAACTACAAACATGTTTAACAAATCATTTTCATAACTTGAAAAGCAAAAGAAATTGTAAATGTAAAAGAAATTATGCACAAGTTTTGCAAACAAAGTTATTTGGAACTACTTTCCTAAAAATGTAGCAAGGCCTAAGGCGTTTTTATATAACCATTTAAAACTATTTACAGAATAATCAGGTGTTCTGCATCAAATAGTTAAAGTTCAAAATAAATAACTGGATTAAGAATTAATGTAAAAATGGCGTTGACTCCGACAGATCGCTTTTTACGTCACGTAGCTGCGCAATGAACGCAGTTTTTGTGGGTGGCAGAAAAAAGCAGCGTTCAAAGACCGGGAAAACTGCCTTTTTTTCCGCCACTCAGAAGGGGTGTTGAAGGCGCCCCCCACCCCCTTTTTTTTGACTAATTAAACGGCGATCTTTAACGCCATTTCTTAACCAGACGGGTTAGGAAAAGTGGCAAATTGTAGCACTTTTGGCTTGCAACAGTTAAAAGTTTTTACCCTTTTCTTTCAAACACTGACAGTTTTTTTTTTTTTCCCTCCACATATTACTGTAGTAATGTGTTAGGAGTCTGTGAACATACAGACTGGTTCCTATTGGACTTTTTACAAGAATTTTTAAAAGACAAGTCAAGTCAAAAGTTTGAAACCTTTTGCAGTGACTTCAGGTCTTTTCACTTGCCCTGTGTGTCACTATAGTTGGGGGAATCTACACAGTCATCCAGACCAAGGCTAAGATCACTGTGGATGAATGGGGAGACAACTACTACATGATGGGGCCGTACTTCGAGCACAACTTCAAGACTCAGGTGGAGAGCTGTGAGCCACCAAATCCTGCCATCAGGAAGGCCATGGATGCCCTCATCCACAACGGCTGCCAGGTGAGGGATGGGAGAGGAAAGATTATCTGTGTACCAGTTGACACACCAAAATGTACTGAGTTGACAGGCATACAATTTGCTTAACCATAAAGGGGACTAGTGGGTCTGGGGGTTCTCACCCATGAAATTAGTTATTCATCATTGTGAAATGATGAATATCACTGTCATACAGTTTGGGCTGCCCTGGATGTACGCTGTGTATGATGGGAATGATGTGATTGCATTGTGATTGCTGGATGAGGATGGTCACTGAATGGTAGTTACGCAGGAGGCTCAGATGCCAAATGCGTGTTTGACCACTAGAGGGTGCACATATGCTGATGAGACAGTTGCAGATCAGACTGTCAGAATACATTTCTTAAGGAAATAACAATTAGCATGACTTTAGTAAAAAGCTACACTAAAGCTGCAAGGCTCCTTGGAGATGTTTAAAATGATCCCTAAGTTATATTGTCTAACTTTAAGAGCAGATAGAAAATGTGTTTGTAAGAACACAACTTGGCTGTATATTGCTGTCATGCAAAAAAACAACACAATATAGTGATCACTTTATACTTCAAATGCATGCATCCAAAATTTCTCTTAGCAAAGTGGATATAACCAGAATCTTCATACCACCTACGCCCTAAGTAGGGTTAGGGTTAGGCTAACCTCAGGCTAAAACTGTTGCCATGAAACTGAATGCATATCCTGGAATAGAAGCACAGAGGCACTTAAATCTGAAAGTGTCCCTAATAAAATTGAACTTGTTTTTAATGCAGGTTCATTTTGGTCGCTGGCTGATTGAGGGCAGCCCCTACGTAATCCTGTTTGACATAGGCTCAGCAGCCTGGAACCTGGACCGCTGGAAAGGGGACCTTTGGGACACCTGCAACATTGGTCTGCCCTACCATGACCGAGAAGCCAATGACTCGCTCATTTTGGGCTCCCTTATTGCATGGTTCTTCAAAGAGGTGCATTATAAGTGAACCTAATTGTCTTGTTGGCTCCTATGCTGAGTTTTGGATTTATAAAAATAAATAAATCTCAATATGCATCACTGAGATGGTTGGCATAAGTAAACATGGCAGCTTTCTTTTGTTTTTAGTTGACAGACCACCTTGGAGACAAACCTAATGTCATCAGTCACTTCCATGAATGGCAGGCAGGTCCTGGACTTATTCTCTCTCGCTCACGCAAAATTCCCATGGCGACAGTATTCACAACACATGCCACCCTGCTGGGAAGATACCTTTGTGCTGGGAACACTGACTTTTACAACAACCTGGACAAGGTGAGAGAACAAGAGAACTGCCTTACAGCAAACAGACGCATAGTAACACTGTTTGTAGTTGGCCTATAACTGTCATGGACACCAAGCCATTCCCTTCTTATGACTCTAGTTAATAATACAGGCAGGGAAATTTGTCAATGTTTTATTGTGAATCAGAGCTTGATCTTTACAGCTGATATGTTGCCTACAATGTGCATATTAGATTCATTATAAATCAATTTCAGATAGTTGAATTGGGTAGTACTTAAATCCTTTTGACCCTAATAGAAGGGGGAAAAACATCAGTGTTTGTAAACATAGGGGCACTACAGTAGGCATGTTATTTATATTATCAAATCACAATAGTAATCACTTTTATATTTCATATTGCACGGCCTTTACACTACAATATGAAATGCAAAAAGTGAGCAAAGAAGAGAAGCCCACAGCATGCTGAGGCCTATTGCAGTGTACCTATGAAAACAGAACAAAAAGCAAAGTTCTTAAGAGTCTGTCTCCTGACACCCCACGTCCATCACAAAATACGCGTGCAACTCACACTCGCGCCTCTCTGCCTACAATGACCAGCCATAAGATTTATGCTCATATTTAAAGGTTTAGCTCTTTTAGGACTACTTAGAGCATCATTAGTAATGTTGAGCTACATTTGGAGATGTCAATGCAATGTTTGTAATTGGCCACACAAGCTAAAGGTCAATGTGGAGCTAAAGGTTACTCCTTGACCGAATGGATAATTGACAGATGATTCTTAGGACCATCACTTATTCTGTCGATGGAATCTTGTTAACTGAGAGTCGGAAAATGCAGCCAATGTGGTAAAACAAAGCAGGATCATTTCCAGACTTACAAACTGTAAATGAACTTTAAAAGATTTTTTTTAATTCATTTAATTGAATAAATGAAATGCAATATTTTATTATGCTCTTGTTTATGCTCAACTATGCCTGAAATTGATAATTATACATGCTGTTATAACCAAACCTTTTTGTGGACCCACGAGGGTAGTCGAGATCTTGCTTTGTAGGATTAATGAGGATGCGGTGAACTAAACTGGTGCAGTCTCATCCTCATTTTCCCAGTATGTTTCATGACAAACGCTCATACTCGGGCACTCATGTCCTCTCTTGCTCATTTAAACATGTATGCACGCTCGCATCCACACACAGCATAACTCTGTATTTGTTTGTGTACCTCCCTCTGTTTTGTCTTTAGGTGTTGTATCGTTGGTGTACTTTGTTACAGAGGAAGCACGTCTGTTTGCATCTATCTCTCCCTCTTTTTTTTTTTTTTGTCCCTTCTATTCTTCCACTTCTCCTGTCTTTTGCCTAGTCTTCACCCTCTGTCCACTCCAGCATTATATCCACAAGCGATAATATGACTTAATATTTTCTTTTTTAAAATAATTACAACAAAAACATTCCCATGAGGAAAGTAGACCCTCTGTAGGCTCCTCTTGTTACAGCAAATATATTTGGTAAAAAAAAGGCATTCAGAAAAATATTCTGCTGCTCTGGGCAGGTTTAAAAAAAAAAAAAAAGCTTGATAATTAAACATGTTTTGTAAAGTAAAATGAATGTTTTTGTTTTTTCTGTTTTTAAAAATTGTGTGTGGCAGTTTAACATTGACAAGGAGGCTGGTGAGAGGCAGATCTACCACCGATACTGCTTAGAGAGAGCAGCAGTTCACTGTGCTCACGTCTTCACGACAGTCTCTCAGATCACTGCTGTGGAGGCCAACCACATGCTGCACAGGAAACCAGGTGGAAAATTTTCACTATACTATCTCCACAAGAACGTAGTTTTACGTTGTCTATTGGTTTTCTGACGATCCATGCAACACAGTCATGCAAGAAATGTTTTTACAAATCACACTACAGTCCTGTAGATAAATACATATCATGATTGACTCATTTGTAGTGATAACTAGCAACAGTAACTTGAAGTAATCAGTTTCTGTATGATGTTCACACAGTCACACAATTTGAAAAATTGGATAATTCATCACATCTGGGGGGGGCTCTGAACTTGGAACACAACTGTATTCCAGGGATTGATGGCAAAAATACCTTCAAGTTTGAAATAAAATTTTGAAGCTAAACACAAAGTAATTTTGATACCGCTGTCAACGGAAAATGAATAAAACCATCTTTTCCTTTGTTGGTACAGATGTGGTCACCCCAAATGGGCTGAATGTGAAGAAGTTCTCAGCCATGCACGAGTTTCAAAACCTGCACTCCACCAACAAGGCCCAAATCCAGGAGTTTATCAGGGGACACTTCTATGGGTTTGTTGCTTTATTAAAAAGTAGTCCTGGCAGCTCTCGAAGTTTGTTGCACTTCATAAAATGAATCGACAATTTCATTTTATTAATCTTTATTATCTCGGTAGTCACCTGGACTTCAACTTGGATAAAACCCTCATCTTCTTCATTGCTGGGCGCTATGAGTTCTCAAACAAAGGAGCAGATATTTTCCTTGAATCACTGTCCAGGCTGAACTATCTGCTGCGGGTGAGGCCGTGTTTGTTTTGTGCCTTTTTGGTAGTGTTGTGTTGTACACATCAAATGGAAACCCATCGTCACCGTCTCTGCAGGTCCACCGAAACGATGTGACGGTCGTAGTTTTCTTCATCATGCCAGCGAAAACTAACAACTTCAATGTGGAGTCCCTGAAGGGGCAGGCAGTACGTAAACAGCTTTGGTACGTCCTGCTTTGCTGATTACTTGTAGCAATTAAATAATTCTGTACAGTACATCCATTTTTTTTTTTCATTGTATACTCTAAATGTGATGAACAATACCCTGGGGGGGGATCTGGAAATCTGTTCTGGATCTGGATTTTTCTCCCTCACTGATCACTTGGGGAGCTGCAGTTTTTGGCAAAATTGTAAATCCCACAGGTTGTAGTGCATCTGCCTCCCAATTTAGAAGAAGGCTATAAAGAACGGCACATGAATGAAATCTGAAATGGAGCCTGGGAATTGCAGGGCCTTCTAAGTTGTCTCTGCCATGTTGTTGTTGCCATGCAAAAGCAGAGGCTGTATGCCAACAGGTAATAAAGAAGAAAGTGCACTAATGAATGAGACAAAGGAGTGTTGTTAGGAGAATTTATTTTTAGGCGCTACTGATGCTCAAGTTCCCTGAACTTGTCGTGTAGCTGTTCGCCACCTGTTTGTGGTGATCACCTGCACAACATTTATTGCTTCAAGCTTGGGCTTATCGACCTTTCTGGGCAGCCACGACACATCAGACAAATCCAATCTTCACTTGTAAATAGCAGACAGTTTGAGACAGCCTGGTATTGATCTGATTTGAAACACAAACCTGATTTAACTGCAGCCTGAACAAAGTGTTTACCTCCATTAGGAAGCTGTACTGAAAGACTCGTCATTATCCAACATTGATTTAAAAAATGTGTACTTCCTCATGAGTGGTTGCCAAGGTGGGCATGGTTCAGCAAAAATGCAACTTAGGAACTTTGCTCCTTCCCTGCTTTAACTCTTAAACTCTAAATAATAATGATTTTCTGTTACTGTTGGTGCTTCAAACTAACAACTGCAGTGGTGATAGATTTCCTTTGCTTTTAACAGGGATACAGCTCATGCTGTTAAGGAGAAATTTGGTAAAAAGCTGTATGATGCTCTGTTAAAGTAAGTATTTCTACTTGCTGAGGTATTTGATGTTGATATCAAAGTGTTGTGTAAATTTGCAGATCAATGATGATGTATGTATGTCTTCTTTCATTAGAGGGCAGATCCCTGATCTCAACAACATTTTGGACCGAGATGACTTCACCATTATGAAGAGAGCCATCTACGCCACACAGGTGTGCGTGCGTGTGCGCGCGTGCGTGTGTGTGTAAACTAATCTTTAATTCTACTTCCCCTCTTTCAAGTAACTGACTACCATTAGTCCTTATTGATGATGACTTAGAAAGATTAATATCAGTAAATTGTACCAGTGTATTGTTTCCCAAGACAAACTGTGTTCAGCTGAAATCTTTACACCTAAGGTGACACTCTTGATAAGAAAATGTTAATATCTGTAAAATGATGTGGAAATTGGGATCTTTTCAACCAGACAGAAACGACCTTTTTACTACATAAAGGGCCATGTTTATGGTTATGCCACTATTACATTTAGGCACATACAAATTTCAGGATAACTTATTTCAACAACATTAAAGATATAACTTTCATTTTGACTCAAATGTTAAAGCTATGCTGGAATATTTTATTTTGAATTTCATATAACTTAATACAATTTTATTTTTTAAATTGTCATCTTGCTCTGTTCATTTAATTTGTGGGTCCTTTTGTAGTCTGCTGATAACAGTGTGGATAACATCGCAGGCTGTCGCAGCATTAGCAGAGAGTGCGGCACATGCAGTTATTCAATCTTCAATTGAAGTTCATACAGCACCAAATCACAACAGTTGCTGTAAGGTAGACCCTACAATAATACATGCAGAGTAAAACCCAACAATCATATGACCCCCTATGAGCACTTTGGCGACAGTGGGAAGGAAAAACTCCCTTTTAACAGGAAGAAACCTCTGGCAGAACCAGGCTCGGGGAGGGGCGGGGCCATCTGCTGCAACTGGTTGGGGCGAGAGAAGGAAGACATGTTATCACGATAACATATGTACACTCCCACAGTAGATAATACGGCCTCATTCTACTAGCTTACCAGCTCAATGTCCTTACTGCAGAGTGTCTTTTTGATAGTCAGATGGTGTAACTCTGGACACTTATCATTCACAAACACAGCCAGACACCCCCCACCCCCTCCCTTGTCTTATTTCTGCTCTCCTTGGTCAGCCTGGATTAGATGCAGATAAACATGGACTGTCTTACTTTTTGGTGTTAGTGTGGTTAATTGGACGGATAAGATGCCCACTGATTCCAGGGCCACCAATTCATCCACGTTACTGTGAAGAAATCTCACATTCCACATGATGAGATGATGGGTCCGTATCTTCTCCTCTGGTTTCGATGCCTGATACCAGATTCCTCCTAACATCTTAGGGCAGCTCTGGACTAGAACAGAGTCCAGCTCCTGCCAAGGATGGTTCCAGATCCTGACTATATCTAGTTGATATCTCTCAACCTCTCACAAGCTCAGGCTTCGATTCCACCAGAGATGTGATGTTTTATTTCCTAATAGCCAGCCCTGGTATCTGGAGACTGGACCACCGCCCTCCTGTAGAGCCTTTGCCTTTGAACATCGCCTGTCACACAATGTACCCAATGCCTATAGCGCCTTCTAACCCTAACCTGCAGGTGGTGGACCTACTGGAGGGAAGCCAGTGTAGCTTCTTTGGGCTGCATCTGACTGGACCCCATTGCCTAAGGGCCTGGTCACCAGGCACTTTTTAAAATCACTCGGGGGTCAATTGAATTCCTCACTTTTATGTTTATCTATCCTAATCGCATACTTTAACCTCTTGGCTTGCAGAGGCACAGCCTCCCTCCAGTAACCACTCACAACATGCTGGACGACTCAGCAGATCCCATCCTGTCCAACATCAGACGTGTTGGCCTCTTCAACTCCAGGAACGACCGTGTCAAGGTAAACAAAACATTATGTCAGCCATGTCAGGTGTGATAAGATCTCTCGATCTCTCTATTGATGGAGATAGATATTAATTTTTAAAATGTATATCTAAAATGTGGAGAGATCTACTGTGACTACACAGTTGGTCTTTAATCTATTAACTTGTAGTTATTAAAAACAAACAAACTGGCTTAACTTTTATGTTTTAATTTGTGCTATGCTGCCAAATAAGGACATGGGCAACTCTTATCTGTGTGTCACCCTCTCAGGTTGTTTTCCACCCGGAGTTCTTGTCCTCGACTAGTCCTCTGCTGCCAATGGACTACGAGGATTTTGTCCGTGGTTGTAACCTTGGAGTGTTCCCTTCCTACTATGAACCATGGGGCTACACACCTGGTAGACTGACCATCCTCATGTTGTAGCCAGGCATACATGTTTCTACACAAATGCTTTATACTTCCCCTGTGCATATTGTTTAGGGCTTCTGTCTTCTGTTCTCCAGGTGAGTGTACTGTAATGGGCATTCCTAGTGTGACCACCAATTTGTCAGGTTTTGGTTGCTTCATGGAGGAGCACGTGTCGGACCCTGCTGCATATGGTGCGTGAGTGCATTCACACTCATGGGTGCACAAACACTGTGAATTATGTGTGTTCATCCTTATGGATTATGTTCTTTCCCCCCTCCTCCTCTCTGTCAGGTATCTATATAGTGGACCGACGCTTCCGTTCTGCTGAGGAGTCCTGCAACCAGCTAACTCAGTTCATGTTCAGTTTCTGCCAGCAGTCTCGGCGGCAGCGTATCATCCAGCGCAACCGAACTGAGAGGCTGTCTGACCTTCTGGACTGGAGATACCTGGGACGGGTCGGTTTCTGATTCTGAAGCCCTGAATAGTTACGTGGTTAAAGTCAGAACAGGACACAATCAGAGAAAACGGGAGTCTACTACTGAACTATATTCTGGTTCAGCCAACAAATAATCAATTTCATTACTGCTTTTGCTGTTTACCAGATACAGGTATACAACAGTGAACAGCAAGCTGCCAACTTTGGTTGTGCTAGGCTATTCCACTTACACAAGTCAAATATAGGGCTACCATGCTGTGGCTCCTGTGAACTGTGGTACAATGTGCCATGTATTGATCTGCTATATAGTTCACCCTCTCCTTTAACAGGATAACGTGCTGACCTCCAAGATGATTGCAAAACAAGCATACAAGATTTCATAATTGGTCCATATGTAGAACAAAGCATGCACCAACTTTAAGACTACTTTCGTCGTTACTGAAGGATGTATTCTTATGGTCAAGATTAATTAGAGGTGGTAGTTCAGACGCCCACATTGCAAATCTTTCATTGAAATGTTTGTTCAGTTCTTAATGTATTTCTGGCTTGTTTGACAGTTCTACATACATGCACGTCACCTGGCCCTTAGTAGAGCTTTCCCAGAGAAGTTCAAGATGGATCCCATGGCCCCTCTGAAGGTAAGGAATCCTTTACAAAGGATTTTGATCATAGTTGTGCACAAAACTTTATGTAGAGTAAGTGTTGAGGAGAAAGTAGAGCTTTGTGAAGTGATTTAAAGAGTTTACTGTTTGTGGGGATTATGTCTGATCCCCTTTTGTGCTCAGAGGACATCCTGGCCTTTCTCGTGTGTTTGGCTGGCCTCTTTTTGCCCAAAGAGGCAGGAAATGACAAAAAAATGTTAAACAGAAAAACTTCATTTTTAAAAAAAATTTTTTTTTTTTTTTATTCTTCCTTTCCCCTCAGTTCTCATGAGGCTAGGACCTTTGCTAGCTAGCTGTGATCCTGTGTTACATTTACAACCTAATTGAAAGCATGAGAAATGTACTGGCGTTACTAAATTCTGTGTGGTTCTTGTACCAAACAAGTTGATGCCATCGGATGCTAATGATCAGCGGCCCTCACATCACATGTGAGAAAGTCTGAGAGACTTGTTATGGTCCATGAAAACATCACTTGACCCTCTTCAGATTGTGGCAGGTAGATTGATTGCATTGTCGACTCTCATATTTGGTCTCTACATAAGCCTTGCTTCCATCTAGATGCTTGCTGAGGGTCATCTTGTTTTATTTATCAAGTTTAACACAATTCAGTCAGATTAAGAGAGACATACAGGAAATGTTAGTAAACATCTCAGGATCTCATGTATCACAGTCTAACTGACAAACTGCAGTATGTGAGATAGTTTGTCTAATGTTCAATACAGCAACTCCAAGGGGAACTTGCTGCGTCCATTCTTGTTGTCCTTGTACACATCCCACTTAAAATCAGACGTAAAAATCTGGCTCATGACATCGACAGAAATACTGATTTTTGTAGTGATTGGATATGTTGGGAACAAGAGGAGTACACAGGACTGGTGGATCATTTTTTTGGAGCAGAGAAATCCTCTGCTTCTGAATGTGGAAAAGACCAGAAAGGTGATGGATATCTAAACGAAGATGGTGGCTACACGTCCCGTGTCTGTCGTAGGACAAGATGCCGCTGTGGTGCAGGAGTTGACATCCAGATACTTCTACATTAAAAGGCTGAATTGGAAGACCAACACAGAGGCTGTATACAAGAAGGGGGTGAGCATCCTCTATTTCCTAAGGGAGCTGAGATACTTCTGGAGAATTTCTGTCAGTTTCTTGTGGAGAGCGGAGTGGAGCTGGTGATGCCAACAGACTGAATAAACAGATTAGGAAGGTTAGTTCTGTGACTGGATGCAAACTGGGAGTCTGAAATACTACAACTATATACATTTTGTTGTTGTTTGTTTTCTTTTCTTGATGAAGTCAACTGCTGTAACAAGAATTTCCTAAGTATTTAAGAGTGCTTTTTAAATCCAATGTTTCTAAGCGATTATCAGATAAAAATGAGCATTTCATGGTTCTAGGCCAGCCTGCCAGCTTCCTTTTTACTTTATTAGGCTCCTCTGCTCACCTGGTAAGGGTTCACACACTAATCATATTAACGATCTACTTCAACTTTAGATTAGTGTAGCAAAATTCACAGATCTGTTTAGGAATCAGACTTACAGTGACTGGGCTCATTTGTCTCCACAGACGGAGGGTTTCCGGTATCCCCGGCCCTACTCGGTTCCACCCTCTCCTTCTGCCTCTATCCATTCCACGCCCCACCACAGTGATGTTGAGGATGACGATGATGAACCCTATGATGAAGATGAGGAGGCCGAGAGGGACCGGATGAATATCAAATCTCCATTTGTGCTCAATGCTGTGCCAGAGGGGAAGAAGCAGCAACCAGGAGAGTCAAGAAACTGAAATGCTCCAGAGTAGCTATGGCCTTTACAGTTGGATGGACTTGACAGACAAATGTGTGCGGCGGTGGGGGGGTCACTGCCTGGTTAGCCCCGCAGTCTACACCACAGTAATGACGACCCCCCCACATCATCACCTTTTGTTAACAATTGTTACACTTATTCTGCTGCCAGGCAATAAAGTCCACCCTGCATAACAAACTTTTTATAAAGTTTGTAGAAAGGTTAAATCTAAGTTTATCATCTGTCTTCAAATGCTAGCTCGCCAAAATAACTTTAGTCAAGCAGAGTCTGAAAATGCTAACTGAACATTACAGTTATTTAAAATAAACTTGAGTAGAACAAAGTGTCTGTCACAGGCTTTCCATTCGTTTGTTTGTTTGCATGAAGCGATAGTAGAGGGTTGCGCTTTAGGAGCAATTTAGAATGAGCAATGAATTTGACACTGTAGCCTTTTAATTTTAGAAGACTATTTTTCAGATTAGAGAAAGCAAAACCAAAAACGATGACATGAGACGAGGGACTGTCAAAGTAAAACAGGAAGTATAACACAGACGTGGACTTTACACTGAACAAAGGGACCACTGAGCTAATCTGAAGGCTGAAAAGTTGAGGTTGGAAGGTCTGCAGCATTTGACTTTGCAAAAATTTGGTTACATCTGTAAACTATGCGTCTCAGTATCCACTGACTTTTTGTGATTGGACTTGTTGCACAAGTGACATTTGGAATCACTAGGATGATGCAACTACCACTTCACATTTAAAGAAGAAAGTGATGGGCAAAATCTAACGACTACTTATTGCCAATTTTTACAGTGCACTTTGGTGTTACCACACACCTCTACACAGTAGTTTAAATATGGCAATATAAGGGAACAAGCTACATGTGATTTGATTCAAAAGACGCTTTGCTTCACTCTGGACTGAAATGGTTTGTGTATGTTTTGAGTTTTCCAAGGTAATCTTGTGGTCTAATATTGCAAAAATTCTGATGTACTCTATTTTATTATTTATCATCACGTTTACACTTATCTTTCCTTGAATTTCCAAGTAACCCAATTTCAGTTTTGTTTAAATTCTTGATTCATATTTTTGAAATCTGGAGCAAATTGATTTTTTGTTTTACAGGGATTGATTATATACCTGAAAAATAACACTGACCATAAAAGTAGAAAATTTGCCCCAAACAGTTTCAATTAAACTCTTTTTATTAAAACATCACATTTCATATTTAGAGAATTTATATTTACAGCTTCCTTTTCCCCCACACAGAACAAATCAGAGGTTGTCTGGCAATGATACAAACATTAGAAATATTCCCTCTTCCACACTGGTAGCTCCTGGATATACACCTCATCTGCGTTTTCATCAGCTAGAAGAGAGGAACGGTAAAAGAAAGTATGGAATTGAAATTGAGCAAAAAGAAGAACAAAACACACATTTTGAACTAAATGCCACAAGATTTGAAATCTTTTTTTTTTTTCTATTATTGCCTTTTCACTACAATCTGAAGTTGATTCGAACTGGAACAAATTTTAAAAAAAATTTTTTCAATCTCTTTTCTTTATTAGGGCATAAAGACAAATTTGTGTCGCAAAAAACCTTCATAAAACTGCAATGACACAGCCATGCTAACAACTACCATAGTACCATAGTTCCCACAACTTGAACTCTAACACCTAAATCATCTGTTTTCTCACAGAGATATTAAAGGACAGTTAATCTTTTTTTTTGTATATTTGGTCAGAGTTGCACTATGACAGTTTACAGTATACGAGTTACCCAATCAGCTCTAGAAATATCTATCTTCTCTCAAAAACAGCTGAAGTGGCCATCATGGCATCTTGTGATGCTCAAAGCATGAAAAACATACATTTGAAAAATGTGTATATAGAACCCATAGGTCCAGATTCTGCTCTCACCTCCCTCTCTAGCCTGCTGTAGGAAATTAAGCAGAACAGTAGCAGCCTGGTCCACAGTCAGCTTCTCTGTGTTGTGACTACGAGTCTCTGACAATCAAGAAAACACAACACAGTCCTGAAGGTGATTGCAGGTCAAGGTCCGCCATGAAAACCACTTACTGTGTATAAACATGGAAAGTTTATTTTTGTCTTTCTTTTAAATAATGAAAGTTAACTCTGTGAGGTCTAAGTCACCATCAGTGTTTACCATAAGCCCTGTGCAATCAAAATGTCCCCCCC